GATGCAGTTCCTAAATCAAAAAGGAACTTTGGTTCTATACTGAACTCACTAGGTTAGGTCTTTGACTTGCAAACATATTTGAAAATTATTGAAATAACATTTACGTGAAATTTGGCACTTATGTTGCAAGTCAAAAAAGTCTGCAATGCTTTGTTTTTTGGTCGATCTAGAACGTTTTTAGGCTAGCAGTAAGAGGGGACCAGATACAAGGCTGGTCCTAGGGATTATTTGTTTGACAAGAAGCTACCACTATCTTAAACTAGGAGGGGTATGGCGGATTATTTAGCGTTTTTGACTGGTCACGACCAGGGTCAATTGGCCAATACTAGGTTAGTTTTTCAAATGAACTTTAGTCATCAAGTTGACAACGCTGCACGTCGATGAAAACACAGGATCTACACATATAAGGTGTGAACTTTAGTTTACTGGAGTTCAGGCTTACATGAGTAACGCTGGCCAGTACAGATCACTCACTCCCCTCACACAGCGCCTAAGGTTAGATACCTTCTATTCTTAGCTTAGACTGGCCAGTTGCGTGCTCTCGTAAGACTAGGTACAGTCAGGATGATCCGACGGATAAATGTCCTCGTTCCTCCCCTGATGGTTGTGATGAAATCCTGACTTGCTGCTCCAGTGTAGTCTTGCTTTTCAGTCGTGGTTCAAGTCTACCAAGAACAGCCAAACTCGACTGCCTCTAATGAGAGGGAAGACAAGCCTGCAATAGTTTTCTGTTTTGTCATGCACCGGGCATGCCAGTGGTAGCTTCTTTAGGAAATAGAGGKTTTTTTTTCAAAACTAGGAATGTTTGTAATTGATATTTATGCATGATTGTTCTTTTGTATGTTTCTTGTTTCTTCTACAGGTTATATTATAGTTAATTTAATAGATCATTTCTCTCTTTTCGATTTAAGATTTCTAAAACTTTTTGCGGACCATGTTTTCATTTTCAATACTGTTCGATCATCTCCATTCTATCTTTCGAATCGTTTAAGTTTACGATAAGTTTAAGATTCGTTTTGAATATTTTTTTCGATAGAAATAGATTCTTCGGGTTGGGTACTGGATATTCCAGCTCTCTCTGAAGTGTTAGGTACTTCCTTGAGAATCCTGGAATATCCCCTCTTTTCTAAGTTTAATCTCATTCGGTAGCATGATGTAATAATAGATTCAAGGGTGTGGGTCTTGGATATTCCAGCTCTCTCTGAAATATTCATTACTTCCTTGAGAATCCTGGAATATCCCCTCTTTTCATGCACCACACACACACATGACGATTTTCTTTCTTCGAAATTCTTTTGACAATGGGTGGGGCCTTGGATAATTCTTTCTTTCGGAATATCCATCCCTTGTTCACTAGATACTAAATAATGTTAGGATTCAAAAGCATAAATCTTTCTTTATGCTTTTGTATCTTGGTTTTATCTTTTTCCTAAACGCGATGTGTTTAGAAAAAATTAAGTTTTCAGACAGTTATGATTCAAAAGTATAATTTTTTTATTCTTTTGTTTCTTAACCTTTGTTTGAAAAAAGAAACTTTCAAGATTTCAAATGCTAACATCGTTTTCTTTTTGTCGTTTCAGAATGGAAAAATATGAGGTTTACCTCGTAACCTCTCAAATATTGTTCTTTTATATCCATTATATTTTGCAATCATTTGTTAAATTTTAATAAGACATCGCAGAATGCAATGTATTAATATATATTTTCTTTTCTTCTTTCAGATCAATCCATGTTACTGCAATTAATTTAATGTGATAACATAAATKAACACGTATTTGCAGTTTCAGTCTTGTACACCTTTAACCCTCCAAGGTCGTGCGCTTGCATAAGGTGGAGGACTACGTTTCCAGGGAGATTTTTCGGCCATTCTTTAGTCTCTGGTTTTTCGTAGCTGGCAGCGCACTGAAAATTAAACTAGTGATTTTCATGGATAAAGTTCTTAAAAAATATAAATTATTGGCTTTTTTCACTTTCTCACGATTTGGCTTTTTTTCTCTGGCACACTGTTCATGTCTTTATTAGTGAATAAAACTTTAATTGATTAATTAATTTTAATGGAATCAAACTTCGACCTTTTTTGGACTGCAACGAGGTTTTTGACAATTTCGAAGATGCCTTCAAGTTTTCAAAGCTGTCATTTTCAGTGAAGTCACGCCTAATTTTAAGGACGTTGTTAAAATATAAAAATGAAAAGAATTTCAATCTATTCGCGAACGCATCCTTTGGCTTCCTTGGTTTTTCAACAATGGCGTCGAGTTTTTCTTTGGTTTTTCAACAATCGCTTCAAGTTTCAGCTTTGGTTTTTCGACAATTGCGTCAAGTTTCAGCTTTGGTTTTTCGACAATTGCGTCAAGTTTCAGCTTTGGTTTTTCGACAATGGCGGCGAGTTTTTCTTTGGTTTTTCAACAATCGCGTCAAGTTTCTTTGGCTTTTCAACAAACGCGTCGAGTTTCTTTGGGTTTTCAACAATCGCGTCAAGTTTCTTTGGGTTTTCAACAATCGCGTCAAGTTTCTTTGGGTTTTCAACAATCGCGTCAAGTTTNTCAACAATCGCGTCAAGTTTCTTTGGGTTTTCAACAATCGCGTCAAGTTTCTTTGGGTTTTCAACAATCGCGTCAAGTTTCTTTGGGTTTTCAACGATCGCGTCAAGTTTTACTTTGGGTTTTCAATGATGGCGTCAATCTTCTTTGGTTTTTTAACAATCGCTTCAATCTTTGGTTTTTCAACGATTGCTTCAAGTTTTACTTTGGTTTTTCAACGTCTTCCGAAGATCCCGTGGTTCCCTAATATTAAAGATATTTCTGTCAAACTCGAGATCCATTGCAAGTGGCGTCCAGATGCTTCTAGATGCGCCCCAAAATGCTGAAAGGGACTATGTTAAAAAATATATACATAGCTTGATATTTACTTATTTTTCAAAGTGTGCCAGAGTTTTTTGAAATATGCAAATGCTTAAAAAAATTACATTCTAATTCGATTGGCATTGTGTTTTGGCCTTCCTGTCTCTAAAACCCACCCCAAACTCAGTAGTGTAACAGAGCACGCTCGGCTTATGGGCCAAGAGGACTGGGTGCAATTCCCAGATGAGTTGGTGGAGAACGGCATGAGTCGAGTACAGCTTCCAAATTTATACGGAGTGCAGTTTGAAACCTCTCCGATAATGGCAGTTCAATTTAAATTTACTGAACGGCTGCCATCTTGAATTGCACAAAAGAATACAACAAAAGATAAATATAGACAATACATCAATCACCTTTCCAGCTGATCTGAAATAGTGACATAGAAATGACGTCACTGCAAAACTGAGATGTCATGGAGCTGTTAAAAATTTCAATCTGACTCCAGATACAAATACAGYAGTAAAATCCTTCATTCACTCGTTAGAGCTTGATACTTGTTGCTTGCGCTTACACATGTTCTCTCTTATATCTCTTATCTCTATCACCAACCTCTTATTAGGAAAGCTAATTCTTTCATTTGGTTGGCTGGGAATTCATCATTTCAAGAAGAAAAAGTGATACCTCAGTTTTTGCAAATTTTCTCTTTCTGATTGGCTGACATTTTCTCTCAGATCAGCTGGCCATTACCCTCATAAAAGAAAGACAAACACACGAAACTCTATATATTATCCGCCACTTGTTTTGTCCTTTTTTCACGAGGGTAGCACTTAATAGCCAGTGGCTAACAAACCCAGTGTGGCCCTCATTCCGTGATGGAATTGGAATTTAGGAGTTGATTTTTCGAATCTTCGTTTCGTTTTGCCCCCTGGCAAGATGCTGGCCGCCGTATCGTCGAAGTAGTCCATTGGCTAAGAATGCACGACTTAAGAATATTAAAAACAAGAGCAGCCGGCCCGTATATGTGGTCACGTGACCTGATGCTAATTTTTTTTTTTTTTTTTTTTTTTCCATGATCGGAATTTTTAGAAATAGGATTTTTTGTTTTGCGCGGACTTACCCCATGATAAAAGTACGTGTTTTAATTTTTTTCTATCTAAGCGTTTTTTTTTTAAAGCAAGATCCTCGATCCGACTTGGGGTAAAAATAAAAAAATTAGGTGTTAATATTTTCTTATCCTTAATATTTATTTTGACACGATATAGTTACTACAGTTCTGCTGTTGTGACATGCAGAAAGTATTTTTCTAACATCCATTGAAAGAATAAGAAATTATTGGTAATCTGATTGATTCAGGAACTTGAACTAAAATGGTTTTGAGCTTACTGAAAACCCTTAAAGTGTATATGACACGAAAAAATTTTAATGTTAAGAATGTGTAGTTTATTGGCATTAATAAGAATATCACGGTTAAATTTGTTCCAAAAACGTATTTCTCTAGAAATTCAAAAAATTTTAGCACGAGTTGTGACGTCATTTTGTTTACAAGTCTCCAGATTTAGTTGCAAATACATGAAATATGTTTGAATATAGAATCTTAATTTCAAGTAGTACACTTTTCAATTTCCCAACATTGGAAGAGTACTACGTAAGCTATCAAATGAAGCTGACTAAAATATGTCTTTTGTTGTTAATTTATATGAATTACAATTTATATTTAGTACATTACTACTGAATCTAGAGTACGTGTCAACAAAATGACGTCACAAATTGGGATTAACTTTCGCAAATATCTCAAGAAATAAGCTTTTGAAACAAATTTTGTTACGATATATTTATTATTACTAACAAACTCTACATTTTAAATGATGGAATGTTTTCGTGTCATATACACTTTAAGCCCCGTTTACACTGGCGATTTTTGTGGCAATTTTCGGAAATATAAAATCTTTTGTCTCGTCCTTCAAAAGAAACATTCGTCTAGGAAAATCTTGGTATCCTGAATAAAACTTTACAAGTAAATTCTTTACCATTATTTATTATGGACAGAATCGCTGAAAAAATCGCCGCAAAGATCGCCGCAAAACTCGCTAGTGTAAACGGGGCTTTATGTCATGGGGTTCCTGTGGTTTTGTCAACGTGGACTGCAGGCTCAAGGTCCAATCATCGTGTTGTGTTGTGATTCGTGGCCTCGAAAAGGAAATATTTTTTCCCAACTTTAAACCTTAAAATCACTCCAACCTCCTTCCTATAAGCTAGTTTACTTCACGTTATTTGTAAAACAAGATGAATTCATCATCTAGTTCGGCCTAGGGAAGACTTTCTTTGTATGTTTTTTGAGTGGTTTTGAAATCCTGGTTCAAAGATGCCTCGAGCAGCCATTCAACTTGCTGTTTTGATTCTCGCCGTTCCTCTTCAGTATTTTATCTGCAAATGGACTACACCTTCTGTAGGAGAGAGAGATATTCTCATGAGAAAGTTAGTGCTATCTTTATTCACCTCTTTTGGATACAACTTTGTAGAAAATTTTTTATAAGTCTAAGGTTCAAGTTCGCCTTAATATTAAAATATTTTCCACTTTGTTTTAGATTTAATATTACCTACAGAAAGAAAAAATTGATGAAAAAACTTTATTCTTGTTAATTAGAAATAATTTAATTTGATTTATTAATCAGTCTATGCAATATTTGCAGGTTAACTCGGTCCTTAACATTGTTCAGTGGCGGCATTTTGAAATGGGACAAATGGAAAGAATGGGTGACAGAATTTATTTCTCGGTTCGATGAGAAGGGAGAATGTCCAGCCTTGGAAGTCCTTAAGCACAGAAATCCTGAAGGGTACTATGGGCAATCAACAGAACCTCGTAGTCCACGGCCCTCAAATGTTAAGTTCAGAGTTGGTCAAGTTATTCGACACAAGAAGTGGAATTACAGAGGTGTTATTATTGGATGGGATGAAAAGTTAAATGTAAGAAATATGTTCAAGGTCTAGGAAAATTGGACGTCAAGGGGAAGGGGTGGGGTCTGGGGACAGTATATTGTGTAGTTCCAGAAAATATCCATACCTCAACCAAAAAGGATTGGAATTTCCAAGGGGTGGTAAGAATATTGCATAGTTCCAGAAAATATTTATACCCCCCCCCCCCCCCCCACAATCTTAAAATCTATAGATTTTTTTGAAAGCGAAGGAGCTCATTAACAATCTCAACATTTTTCACTTTTTCCTATTTCGTTTGATTCAGGCTCCTGACTATTGGCGGGCATCTAACCATCCTGCCGACAAACCAGTAAGTACCAGACATAAATCTTATCATTGCTGACACCAAAAGTTCAAAGGGTGGCTAGGAGGCTGTTCCCTTGAAAATGGAGAAGTTTCTCGAACTGCAAAGRATGTAATAACATTATGTTTCCTTTCATTGACAGCATTGGCAGACCATGCCCAATTATGCCATACTTGTCGATATAAGAGATAGGGCGGAGCCACAGGTGACATATATCCCTGAGGAGAACATTGAGATTATATCCAATACAAAGGTATACAAACACCTTATATTTTTCCCTTGTATACTAAGAATTTTGCATTCTTATTGGAGTGATTGTTATTTTCTATCTCTTAATTTTCATGGTTCAGTATCTTCATTAGCTACCATCCTAAAATCCATTAGAATAGGGGAACCTGTATCCTAAGAAAACCGTGCTTATTATATTCAAGACATCAGACGAAGTTTATCCCTATCCCAACCAACTGGATTAATGCAGCCCAAACCATTTCTAAGGACTGACTCACACTATTTGAGGACTGGCCACAGGGATGGTTCTGAAATAGATCTAGTCAGAAAGATCTGAAAATCTGAAGTCGGCCATGTTTACRCGCATTTGATCATATACACATGCTAATTTGTGCATTATAAGTAATAAATTATTATAATATTATTATTATGTGCAACCACCGTGTAAAACCTTGGCATAGTTAGCTGTACGTACTCCTTCAAAATTCATTTTTGGTCCCTTGTATACTCCTTGGATAGTCCTTGAATATTAAGTGATTACCTCAGCACGAACCTTGTGGCCACTTGGACTAATCAGTTCAACCTAATGGAATGCATCCCTAAGTCATGAGAATGTACATTAAGAAGTCTGATAATGTATATCATTTACTCCACACAGATAATACATGACGAAGTTGATGACTATTTCTTGGAGTTTGATGGAGCACAGTACCTGCTGAGACCCTGGCTCAGAAAAGTATACCCCCATGATTAGTATTAGAGATATGTGGCCTCTGGGTAAAGCTTTAGTTTATAAAATCTACCCAAAATGATATACCCATACCTCTGCTATACCCCTTGGAAAATCCAATTTCCACTGTGGGGGAGGTATGGATATTTTCTGGTACTACACAATATACCCTCCTCAGACCCTCCCCACCCCTTGGAAATTCCAATCCCCCTCTGTGAGGGAGGTATGGATATTTTCTGGAACTACATAATATACCCTTCTCAGACCCTCCCCACCCCTTGGAAATTCTAATCCCCCTCTGTGGGGGAGGTATGAGTATTTTCTAGTACTACACAATATACCCTCCTAAGACCCCTCCCCACCACTTGGAAATTCCAATCCCCCTCTGTGGGGGAGGTATGTATATTTTCTGGAACTACACAATATACCCTCCTCAGACCCTCCCCATCCTTGGAAATTCCAATCCCCCTCTGTGGGGGAGGTATGGATATTTTCTGGAACTACATAATATACCCTCCTAAGACCCCTCCCCACCCCTTGGAAATTCTAATCCCGTCTGTTTAAGGGGAGGTATGGGTATATCACTTTATTTCTTGAATTTTTTCAGTCAACATTTTGAAATAAAATATTTGCTTTTGGGTCCTTGGGTTATGGGATTCTTTGTACTCCTTTTGTTCGTCTTATTTCTTATTACAGCTCCATGTATTTATGCTTGAAAAGAGTATCAGGAGCAAATCGGAAGGTCCAAGGGTTCTTGTGGTACCCCTTTCCTTATGGCAATGTTAAGTGAAATGACGGGGAATAATGGAAAATCCTGTAGGTGCTTGCTGCGCTTGCATGCCATTACAGTGTGACCCTTGAAAGCTTGATCACATTTGATGTATTTGGATACTGCTCTGCAAAGGTTCTTTGTTGCCAAACAAGCTTTTACACTACTTATTATAACAGGGGAAACCATCCAGCTTTGCATGAAAATGTGCAGATCTAATGTACAAAAGCCTGTGCATAGGAGTATGCAATTACATTATTACTGATCATATTTTTGCATGTTGCTCCGTAACATATCTCGCTCTCCTTAAGATTTATCAAATTCCACACACACAACAGAACAAAAAGGGAAGATAAAAGCCCTCTAAATTTCTCTTTGATATAATTGAGAAAACTTCATAATTTATCAAATTATAGATTCATGTATTAACCTTATACTAGCCCCCCTCCCCCGCACCAATTCCACACACACAACAGAACAAAAAGGGAAGATAAAAGCCCTCTAAATTTCTCTTTGACATAATTAGATGATAGAATGTAAACACAGATTTTCTGTCATATTTGCAAAGTTTTAATACAAGTTCTCTATTAAAATAGAAAATAATACCAGTTAAATGTTTCAAAAATTGTATCATAAAACATTAATATAATATACTATTTACAATTTTTTACCGTTTTCATATTACAACAATTTGTTTAAAGTTTCTCAGACCCTCCCCACCCCTTGGAAATTCCAATCCCCCTCTGTGGGGGAGGTATGGATATTTTCTGGATCTACATAATATACCCTCCTCAGACCCTCCCCACCCCTTGGAAATTCCAATTCCCCTCTGT